GGGGAGGGGCTGGGGTTGTCATGGAGACAGGGAAGAGCAGCAGGGCCTCAGCCCTGATCCACAGCTACTGGTAGTGCATCCCTGCCTATTCTAGAGCAGAGAAGGCCCATGGAAGGTCCAGACGGGCAGCTTAGGCAGGAGAGGCAGGGGCAGGTTGGGCCTCAAGCCGTGCCTGCTGAGAACACACTCCCACCTCATTACATATTTCTACTTATTGCTAACAATAACAACCACTGTTTATTGAGCTTTTTTTAACAGCAGGCCTGACGCTAGGTCCTTGAGAGCATGTTTTCTTATTTAAGCCTAAAAACAACCAGGAGACAGGCAGAATAACAATCTCTAATTAATAGAAGAGGAAATTGAGGTTCAGCAAGATGAAGCCATTTGTCAAGATCACATAGCTTGTGACAGAGCAAAAATTTTTGGATCAAGAACTCTTTACCAAGGCAGATAGATGAGCTAGCAAGTGAAGCTCTGAGACTCTCAGCTGGTGGGGAAACTGAGTCCCTTGGGTACCAAGGGGACTTTCCCAGGCTTCTGGCATTAGTCAAAGAGATGGCTGGGGACAGAACTCGTGTGTTCCAGCCCTAACCACTAGACCACACGGCTTCTCCATGGCCTGAGCTGGGAAGGTCCAAAGAGAAACTCCCTTTCCAGCCCCAGCCTGGACTGTAGGTTCTCCCCCAGCTATGAGGCTGCCCCTGTGGAGGCCAGGCCTAGCCAGGGTGCCGTGGGGGATGCTGGGGGGTTTCTGCCCACACATATGGTTTCCAGATTCCAGGGGATGAAAAGGAGGCCCTTGGGGGCGGAAATGGGGGATGTGTGATGACAAATTTAGACTGATTGCTTTAAAAAAAAAAAAAGGCCGAGAAACCCTAAAAAATAAAAGCAAAAAGTCCGCTAGAAAAACCAAAGGGAATTATTTGATTGTGGAGCCAAGTGCCATGAGGTAGAACATGGTTTAAAGTGGAACAGTACCAAGCGTTCTCCTGACTGTGCTCAGAGGATGACGGGGGAGGAAGAGTTCTGTCTGCTCTTTCTGGCTTCACCCCCTGGACTTTGGGACGAGGCTAAAGTTGGGCCTGGCTAAAGTCAGATGCCTGGAGTTCAGGAGCACTTGTCGGGGGGCTCCCCTGTAAAGATTGGGCCCTTCAGATGCCAAGGATCCTCCTGGCTTGTGGCCAGGGGTCCCCACTGGCTCACAGAGAGAGTTTCCCTAGGGGAGGCTCCAGCTGGTCTGTACTGAGAGCATGTAAAAAGATGAACTGTAAGGTGGGTCTGGGGTGTCTCTGAGTCCTAGTCTTAAAGGGAAATGGCCAGGAACAGAAGGTAAAGAGAGGACAGCTGCCTGGAATTCTGGCCTGCAGCAGGCCCAAAAGGTCAAAGGTGAAGGGGGGGCAAGGGGGACTTCCTGAGACTCTCGGGGGAGTGCCAGCCAGTCAGGCTGTTGTGCAAGCTCTGGGCTGGACCAGAAGGGCAAGCTGGTAGAAGAGCTGTGTCTGGCCTAGTCCTCTCAGCCTCTCGTATCTGTTCCCTGGAGCTGGAGTAGTGCCCTCTCTCCTCCAGGAGATCAGACCCCACCCCCCAACAGCACCCTGTCCCACCTCACTAGCCACACTCTATATGCTTGAGGGTTTTTTCTCTCATACTCATCCTGAACCTCTCCTCCCCAGAACCACCATCTTTTGAGAAGCAGAAAAACCTCAAATAAGCGTCTTTCTTCCAATTCCACTCCGATATCCGATGTGATCAGAAGGGTTCGTGAGGGAAGAGCCATGAGAGGGGGTCACAGGGTCTCAGCTCTAGACGAACAGGCACAGAGGAGAGTGGAGGTGAAGCAAGCATCAGGGGTGTGTGGGCGCCGGGCCCTGGGTTAACCACAGATGTGCTGCCCTGCTCTCCCTAGGCGCACGTGAGACTCTCAAGGTCTGTTATGTTGAGTTTTACAGGTGAAGAAATTGAGGTTCTGAGGGTGTGATTAAACTGACAGCTGGTAAATAGCAGAGCAGAGACTTGCACTTGCTCTTTCCAGATCACCTCCCTGTCTCTCAGCTCAACTCACCTTACTGGAGATGGAGAGCGAGCACAATAAAGGATCTAGGACCGTATCTGGCTCCCAGAAGGTGTGGGATCATTGCTAACTGATGCTGAATCTCATGGAGAAGAGACTGGATCCTGAATGGAGCCTGGTGTGTCACAAATTTCTCCTCTTAGATTCAACATCTGTAAGAGCGGGAGGTGGGTTGCCAGCTCAGTGGTTTTCCAACTTGGGTCCTGGCACCCTGGCATCTCATAGAAATTGGGATGGGGGAGAAAGGACAGTGAGTAGGGATGTTCCCTGCCTTCTGCCAGCCCAGCTCCCATCAGGGAAGCTCAGCATATCAATATAAGGTAGTGGACATCCATAAGGGATGCTTTTATTTGAATAAGGGTCCCACAGCACTCTGTGACCTCTACCTGAGGTCTCTGCAACTTTGACCTTCTGGGAGACGTGATCAAGGCAGTTTCAGGTCCTGGGCTGGGGAGGGAAGCCAGAGGATCTAGTGAGGGAAATGCAGGAAACCATGTCTGGGCTCCTAGCCCTTTGGCAGGAAGCAGGTTAAGGTCAGAGCCATGAGATCAGGCCTCAGCAGAGGAGGTGAGCTAGAGATACATGGCACTTGCCTCTCCACCCGGGAAACACAAATAGACCTTTGGCCACAGCAGCCTGGAAACCAGGAGTAGCACCCACCTTCCTGGGGGCCAAACCTCTGTCCCTTCCTCCTTTTCTTCCAGGCCTGCCTGGGCTTGTTCTCAGTGGACATCAATTGTGGTTGCCAGCCTAGGGCCACCCTAACCTCCCATGACCTCTTGGCTCCTGCTGCTCAGTTCACAGGCTACTTCAAGGTGAAAGCTGAGAAAAGGCAAAGCTGCTCACGGAGAGGAAAGCCCCTAATAGAGGGCATTCAGTGGGCAAGGCTAATCACCTTGAAAGAAGGACCCTACTTGCAGCTCCTTTATGGACCAGCCCTAGACAAATTTGTCCCTGTGCCTCCGTTTTCCATTTTGGAAGCTGGGCATAAGAATGGTGTCCCTCTCCTGGCGGCTTCAGCATGTATAGCTCCCAGCATGTATAGTCTCCATGCTTTAGGTGAAGGAAGAAGCAGAGGGTAGCCCTAGGGCTAGAACTATCTAGCATCCTCCTTCTGTCCCACTCCTCATCCTGGGCCTGCCTCTGACCACCATTCACCCTCAACCTGCTGCAGGGCCCAGCCAAGCTCCATGTAAGCAAAGCTTGCCAGCAGGGTCCTTTGTGGGGCTGCTCCCCTGTGGCACTGCCTAGGGGCCCCACCATGGGGCAACAGATGGACCTATGGTCTCTACAGAACAATGGTGGGGGAGGGGCCCTGGCATCGCCTGCCCCAAACAGGAAGCGCCGCATGAGCTTCAAAGAACTGGCAGGGCCAAGGGGCTGAGTGGCTGGAGCCGGTGCCAGGACCGGCGGCTGCCTGAAGAGATGCCTGCCAGCCTCGGGATGCCCAGCCTGCAGTGGGGGTGGGGCTGCAGTGGCAAGGGCAGCTGGGTCTCGGCTGAGGACGCTTTGCACCCTCGGTGCAGCAGCCTCTGACCTGGAAGCAGGCTGAGGGAAGGGCGCTCGCACTCAAGGCTGTTTCCCGGCTCTGCTGCCACCCGCCCGCGGGACTGCAGGTTCTTTCCCAGACCACAGTGGGTCTGGCCCTCCGGCAAGTAACCGTGAGGGGCAGGGCTGGCACTAAGCCTGCCGCCCACTCCCTGCCTCCTGCTCCCAGCTGCTCTGCTCAGAGCCTTTTCCTCTCCACTTCCTGTTCACACAGGGGGGGGCGGGAAGTGGAGGGAGGAAGTTGGGGGGAGGCGTGTAGGGGGGACCCATTGAATAAAAGGAATTAACCGTTTCCCTCCTCTGACCTTTGGGAATTTCCGCCTGTGAAAGTGTCTCGAAGAATCTGCAGAGTTGAGGGAACGGGGAGGAGGTGTGCCCCTCTTGGCCCCCTTCCCTGCCCCCTCTCCTGGTGTTAGTGGTGGGGCCAGATAACTCCCTCTGGGCCCCCTAACCTTTTGTTTTCCTGGCGCCAGGGGGGCAGCGCCAAGGGCAGCCTGGAGCCTGGCGGCCCCCCTCCCAACCAATGGGGTTAGGGTGTCCGGCCCGCGAGGCCAGTTGGGCGCAGCAGGGCAGGAGGGGGCTGAGCAGAAACTGCTGGGAGTCGGTGGTCCCTGGGGAATGAACTCACACCCGGGCTGTCCGGGCTCTGAGCCCTGCGCCCTCCCTGCCAGGGTTGGCTTTGGCCAGGAGAAGGGCGGTGGGCTGTCGGCCGAGCCTCAGACGTGGGGCGGGCACACCCTCGGGGGCCACTCCCCCCTGGGGCAGAGGAAAGGAGCTGGTGGGTTAGGGAAGCCAGTAGACAGCGCCCCCTAGTGCCCGCTGCTGAGTCTGCCAGGCGCCCCCCCCCGCAGCCCCCCACAAGGGCCCTCTCAAGGGCGGGCCTCAGGAAGCACCTGCTCCCCAGGACCAGTGGCCGCCCTGCATCTCCCCCAGGTGGCTTCCTTGTTTACAGGCCGCCTGCCCTGATCCCAGCGTCACTGCCTGTGGCCACTCCTCCTATTTCCAGTGACTGCTCCAGAAGCAGCTCATTCATCTTGGCCCCTGCCCACGCAGCTGCTCCCCCACCCCCCCACTCGCTCCTGGTCCTCCCCCCAGGCTTAGGGCCAAGGCCCTGAGGGCCTTCTCTCTTCCCTCCACTCCAGGCCTTGCTTGGTTTCCAGGGATCTAAGAGCCGTGGCTTCCCGTTGCCCTGACTCAACGGAACCCCATTCTGTCGGTGCCAGAGAAGATTGGGGCCTTTTTCCAGGAAAGAGGAAGCAGCCTAGGACCAGATGGGCAGGCTTAAGAGAGGACAGAAGGGGCAGGGGTGTCCCAGGCTGTCTTAGCCAAGTCTTCTGGGAGGAGGGAGCAGTAGGGCAGTGTTTGCTTAACTAACATGTTATTAGGCACCCATTATGTGCAAAGACAGAAGCCCCAAGCTGTTCCAAGTAAGCAAGTGACCATGCAAGTGGTAGGCCAGGATTAACCTAGTATTGACAGTGGGGAGCAGTACCCTGAGGCCTGGACTGGGCATATCTAGGTGTGAGGGGAGCCTTAGGCCCATGGAGAGGAAGGGAGCAGGAAGCCCCCCAAATCTTCCTGGGACACCGGAAAGGAACAGGATTAGGATGGGACCCTTACCCCCATTTGTTTCCACTCTTGTTTCAGGGGGAAGATGGGGAGTTTGAGGCTCATCAAACATGGACAGCTTCTGGCTCTGCCACTTGGCAGGGGCCATGAACAAACCCTGTGGTTGGGGAACAATCAGCATGACAAGATTCTCCCAGGACTGCAGAGGATAAAAGTCTTGGGAGAGGATTAGGCTGCACTCTTCTCCCTTGCCTTTGAGCAAGAGAGAAGCCTGCCATCACTAGCCAGGTGACTTGACCCCAGCCTGATTCCAGGAATACTCACTAGTTATTGTGTCTCAGTCTGGGCAGCTGACTGACCACACCCATAAAGCTGGGCAGTGGACTGTGAACACCAGTCCATGGAGCAAAGGGTGCTCAGCTGATGTCACAGGAAGGCCCTGCTTCTGGACTTCCTAGGGCTTAGGCTCAAGCCACAACTAAAGAAGTGTAAGTTGGGGGGGATGGGTAGGTCACAGGAGCTACATGGGGAGAAAACCTATCTGCCAAATGCTATGGATGGCAGCAGCAGCAGTCTCACCTCCATGGTGGACCTCTGCATTACAGTTAAGGGACTTCCCTGGTGGTGCAGTGGTTAAGACCCCATGAAAAAATGAAACAAACAACAACAACAAAAAAACAGTGTTATGATTAAATACCACATAGTGGTAGGGCAGTATCAAAATTGGGTAGAAGTTAAGAAGGCAGGGTTCCAGGCTGGTGAAGAGACAGGCAAGCAAAATCTAGCATGTGTAAGAGCCAGTGGAGAGAGGAAGAATGAGGGGCTTAGATTTATGATTAGGCATTGAGATTAGCAGAAAACTCCTGGAACCACCAGGGAGGGTACAGACCGAGGAAGCACTAGTGAAGAAAGTGACTTGAGAAGTCAGCGCCCCCAGCTGCCTGACTGTGGAGTCCTGTGGGGAGCAGCACCATCTGCTGGCCAAAGGGAAGAACAGACCCTGCTCCTAGACTTGGGAGTGCAGTGCTTAGTTGCTCAGTTAAGACTCTGCAACCCCACGGAGTGTAGCCCGCCAGGCTCCTCTGTCCATGGGATTCTCCAGGCAAGAATACTGGAGTGGGTTGCCATGCCCTCCTCCAGGGGATCTTCCCGACCTAGGAATCAAACTGTGGTCTCCTGCATTGCAGGCAGATTCTTTACCATCTGAGCCAGCAGGGAAGCCCAGACTTGGGAGGGTAGGCCTTAAAGCCCAACCCAAGCTTGGAGTCAGAAAGAACAGAGTGAAGGCAAAGAATAAAAAAACTATCCTGTTACATCTCCAGGAGCAAGGACCAAGGCTTGAAAGTATGCAGGGCCTTGGCAGCTTCTGTGGCACCCCAGCCCCTCTTGGAGATCACGCACACACTGCTCTCCCCAGCATCAACATAAAGGCACCAATTCCAGAGTACCAGGGCAAGGCAGACAGTTTAATGCTCTCCACCTCATCACCATCTCCCACTGTCCTCCAGGAGGCTCTCTGCCCCAGTGCACCCCTCACACTGGAGCCCCAGACAGTGTGCACAAGAGCAGGCCCACCATCAGCCCCACCTCTCACCCCAACCCATGCCCAGGGCTTGGGGGGCTTGTCTTTTCACCTGTGGGACCGAGAAGCAGACAGAAGAGAGCGCTTCTGAGAGAGATGAGCCACAGCGAAAAGTAAGGATAGGATAGAAGGTACTGCTCCAGAAGGAGAACAGGTGTGTGGAGAGTGAAGAGGAAAAGAGGTGTTAGATGTGGGGGGATAGTAATGGGGTCAGAATTCTGACTTCTCCAGGCTATGGCCCTCTACTGGGAAGCAGGCTTACGGCCTGGGCAAAGCAGCAGCTCTACGGCAGCTCTGAAGACTAGCACGGGCAGCCGGCAGAAAGCATCACAGCTGACACCTGAGGGCAGCAAGGATAGCTGCACGCCCCCCACCACCGGCCCAGCCCAGCAGCCTTCAGGACACTGAGCACAGATGATGCTGCGGCTTTCCCAAGAAGGGAAAGCCCCCCAACCACCGGCCCGCCTATCGGGGTTGACATCTTCCTACAACCAACTGAGGTGCTCCTCCTCGTAGCGCTGGGGGTCGATGAAGGGCCGGTCAATAGAGCGGATCATCAGCTCCCCACAGTACACACACTCAGCAGCTACAAGTTCATCCAGGTCAGCTTTGAGCTGTTCCCGGCTGGGCCCCCCGGCAGCAGCACCCCCCTCAGCCTCCTTAGCCCGGGCAGAGCCCTTGGCAGGGGGTGGAGCAGCCCCCAGCTTTCGCTGCAGCTCCTCGAGCCGGGCCTGCTTGTAGGCTGGCAGGCCGGGCCGCACAGCCTGCAGCAGGCAGTCAGCATGGAACATGTGGCCACAGAGGAAGAGGTAAAAAGGGCGGTTGAGTAGGGGGAAGTCGCAGGTGGCACATTTGTCCTGGGGCTCCACGGTGCCATAGCGGCCCCGCAGCTCCTGCAGGTCTCTCCGGATGCGCTGGGCACTGGCTGTGGCCTCTTCCATCTCTCGCTGTAGCTCTTGGATGTGGTGGTTATAGGCCTTCAGTGAGCTGCAGATGGCCTCCTTGAAGTGGTCAATGGTGACGAAGTCAGGAAAGAAAGGCAGCACGTCTTCAATCTTGAGCAGGGGACAGCTGGCCAGGCAGGCCATGGCCGTCTGCACATCTTCTTCCTCCTGCACCACGTGCCGCGCAATCTTCAGCCACAGCTTCTTGCGCAGCTCCTCGTCTTCCTCAGGCAAGTCAGCACACTGCTTGGCCAGGTCCACGTCCACCTGTGGGGAAGCTGAGAGTGTTAAGGTCAAGTCCCTCCCCACTCAGGACAGAGTCTGTGGGAAAGACAGATGCCCGAGAGAACGGATGCCCTGCACTCCTGGCAACAAGAAAGATTGGGCTTCTGGGGGCTGAAACAGGGGCTACTGAGACAGGAAGGAACCTGAAACAGGAAGGCCTGTCAGAGCTACGCAAATGCTACTTATTGATGGTGGGCCTGCAATATTAGTGAAGTTAAAAATCACCTGGGGAAATACCCAAAATACAGATTTTTGGGCCCTCACCCAGACATTCTGATTCAGTAAGTCTTGGATTCAAACCCAGGAATTTGATTTTTTTTTTTTTTAATTTTATTTTGACTGCAATGCATGGCTGGCAGGATCTTAGTTCCCTGACCAGGGATTGAACCCACGCCCTCGGCAGTGAAAATGCACTGTCCTAACCACTGGACCACCAGGAAATTCCCTCAAATTTTAAATTGCACTTTATACAATCCTAAGTAGGTGATAATTCATGATCTGAGCAATGCAACTCAGCACCTTCCCATTCTGCAATTGTGGCTAGCATGTATGCAGAACTTACCTGTGAGGGAAGTGCTTATTATATTATCCCCATTTTGCAGCTGAATAACCTGAGGCAAAAAGAGGTTCAGAAACCAGTCTGAAGTCACACAGCTTAGTACCAGGCAGAACCAGAATTCAAACCCTGACTTCTGAGTTGTGTTCTTCACCTCTATACAACAGTTCCTCTGCAAGAGAGGTCAGCACCCCTTAGCCACGGTCCCACCCCCTCAACTTTCAGCATGTCAGGCTTTCTAGTTCTCTCTCCCAGATGGGGTCAAGGATCAGCTCACCTGCAGGGCCAGGTCCACAGCCTCCTCATACAGCTCCAAGACCTTGTAGACGTGGACACAAGCGCGGTGGTGGCCGTGCTCAGCGCAGAGCCGCAGCGCATACTTGAGATCATAATGCACGCGGTGTGGGCTGGCCCCGGCCTGCTCCAGGTAGGCCAGCAGTGAGGCCGGCTGGCCCCGGGCATAGAGCGACAGCAGGTAATTGTGAATGGCCTGCTCGGTCTCGCCCAGCACGTTCACGCAGAACTCCATGTAGCGGATGGCTTGGCTCACCTGCTGGGCCTCGCCACCTTGGCTATAGTTCACCAGGGCAGGGATGAGCTGCCGGGCATCTAGCCGGCTGCCCATCTCAATCCAGGCGTCCACCAGCTGGCGAGGGATGTGACGGATGAGGATGGGTGAGAACTTGTAGAAGAGCTGGGGGTCACGGTGGCGGGCCAGCACGGCCAAGGCCTCCTCGTAGGCCTCATGCTGGCAGTGGTACGCCACCACACGCTCATAGTCCTGCATGATCACAGCGAAGTACACCATGTGCTCTGTGTCCCCGTGGCTGGCCAACAGCTCATGGATGGAGGCCCGGCTGGCGAAGAGCCACTCCTTGTGGCGAGGGCTGCTGAGGAAGGAGCGGAAGCGCTCACGGGTTTCCCGGTAGAGGTTCAGGGCATCTGGGTCACCCTGCAGGGCCCCAAGCCGGCTCAAGTAGAGCTCCGTCAGCCAGGCGGTCAGCAGAGTTGCCTGGGTTCGCTCAGAAGGCTTCAAACTGGCCAGTTTTCGCTGCAGGAACTCGGCCAGCGCCTCCTCCTGTCGGGCCTCCAAGAACTTAAGGGCGATCTCTTCAAAGTAGCTCTGAGTCAGGGCATAGCAGCGGGCGCTCTCCAGGTAGCGACGCTGGCGGAAGCAAAAGTCAGCCTCCCGGGCCAGGACTGTGTCCAGGCAGTCAGGCCGCTCTCGACAATACTCCTTGGCCAGGTCGAAGCGGTTCATGTCCAGGTAGGTGCGCCAGACATCCCGTGCCTCCCGCTGTACGTGGTAGCGGAAGACAGCCCGCTCGGTGTGGGCCCACAGGTGGCCCGTGGAGGAGTCCTTCACCATGTGCTTCAGCGGCCCGAACTTCTCCAGGAAGTGGTCTCGCAGCACCACCTGCCCCGTCAGCGTGCACACTGCCTCCACCCGGTCTGCCAGCAGCAGCAGGAAGTGGAACTGGGTCAGGACGATGGCCAGGGGAGGGCTGGCTCCGGGGCCCACCCCCTCTGGGTACTCCCAGACCCGCTCCTCGCTCAGCAGGGAGTCCGGACGCCCGCAGTCCAACGATCCATACAACACGCCGTCTCCCATCATCCAGGCGAAGGCCCGGGGTGCAGAGCGCAACTTGGGGGTGTAGAAGGCCAGCTCGCTGTAGCCCAGACTGCTGGGGAACTCACGGAATGGGGGTGGGTGGTCAGCGTAGGCAGCAAAGAGCCCCGAGAAACCCTGGGCCTCAGCTCCCTCTGCCACTCGGCCTATGAACTGGAAGAGGCGCTGCCGAGTGGTGGCGATGACAAAGCCGCGCCCTTCAGGGCCCCGCTCAGCCTCAAGGGAGCACACAGGTGCTGGGCCCCCTTCTTCATTTAGCACGTACAATGGACGGAAGTAGAGATCCGGGGCAGGGCCAAAAAGCCCACCCTCGCTGGCCGAAAGCTCTGCTTCGAAGATCTGCCCTTGGGCGGTGCCAACCAGGATGGGGCCCGTGCTGCTCTCGGTGCCCAGGGCCTTATTCCAGCCCACACTCTCCACCAGCTGCCCCTTCCAGCGTGCCAGGGGCCGAACCTTCTGTCCATTACGATTCACGTAGAGGACCTCAGTGCTGCTCAGAGCGATCAGCAGATGAGAGCCTAGAGGAGGGCAAAGCATGGCACCCTAGAGGATGCTGCCTTTCCCACCCTCAGGTCCCACCCACCCCGGCGGTGACCAACCCGCAACAGTCTCCGCCCCCACCTCAGAACTCTATCGCTACTCACCAGTAGGGTCCAGGAACATCTTGTGAACTTTGGCATCATCCTTGCGCCCCAGCTCCATGTGGTTGGGTTCATTTGCTTTGCCCAAGTCAATGCTGTCAAGACAAGAGTCAGAGCATGACTCCAGAGGAGGGCAGAGCCTTTTTTTGAATCACAGACCTCTTTATAATCAGATGAAAGGCACAACCTTTCCTCCCTGAAATCTACACAGACACATAAAATTCTGAATACAATCCCAAGGGAACTCTGAAACACATACGGGGTCCTCCTTCGGAACACTCAGCTCTGAGAAGCTGCTTCATTTTGAGAAGTCACTAAGCAGAAGTCTTTTGCTTCTGCTCAACACACCCCCAGTGCCTCCAGGAAGATGGGCAGGGACATCCCAGAATGCTGGGGTAAAAAGGGAACCGCAAATAGTAGCTAATGGTTATTGAGCACTTTCTAGATACCCAGCACCATGCTAAGAGCTTGAGCTGGTATGACCTCAATTAATCTTCACAATAATCTTGAGGGGTATTCCCTTAAGGTTATTTCTTATTTAAGGTATTTCCTTATTAAAACCTTTTCAATTGATATGCTCATTCTAACCAAAGAATCAATGCAAAATTGTATGAAGGGGAACTTCCCTGGTGGTCCAGTGATTAAGAATCCACCTTGCAATGCAGGGAATGCGGGTTTGATCCCTGGTCTGGAAACTAAGATCCCACAAACCTCCAGGCAACTGAGCCTGAGACCAGTGTTGAAGATCCCATGTGCCACAACTAAGACCCCACACAATCAAATTTAAAAACAAAAAGTAAGTATGTATGAAGAAAAAGTTAATGACTTTCCTCCCAAATTCCTGTTATTCCCAGCAGAAAAAACTGATAGTAACATCTTTTTCCATGTTCACAACATAAAGTTATTTTATCACTGTTTTTATAATTTATACCTTACTTTTCTCAATGATATTTCATGAACATTCCACTGGGTCAACAGATACAACTCTCATTGTTTTAATAACTGCATAATATTTCCTTTTATGGCTGAATCATAACTTAATCATTTTCCTACTAATAGGCATTCAGCTTGGGTCCAGTTTTTCCTATCAGAAATATGGCTGCAATCAACATCCTTGTATATATACCTTTCAAACTGGTAGTTTTCTTTCTATGACTTGAATTCCCCAAAGTGGGACTGCCAGGGAAGTTACAGATATTTTAAAGTTTAACAGACACTGCTTTTCCAAAAGGTGGTGGCAATTTATACTCTTTCCAGCAATATATGAGTCCATCTCTGTATATCTTCACCAGCATCATACATTGATATTTTAAACTCTTGCTAATTTTATAGGTTAAAAATAATAGTATCTTAGTTGTTTTATTTAATTTTTTCAATTTTCTGGCCATTTCGCACAACATGAGGGATCTTAGTTCCCCAATCAGGGACTGAACCCACGTCCCCTGCATTGGAAGCACACAGCCTTAATCACTGGACCACCATGGAAGTCCCTTACTGGTTTTTTTTTTTTTAATTAATTAATTTATTTATTTTTTATCACAACCATAGTGTATCTTTTTTTTTTTTTTTTACATGTATTCCCCATCCCGGTCCCCCCTCCCACCTCCCTCTCCACCCAATCCCTCTGGGTCTTCCCAGTGCACCAGGCCCGAGCACTTGTCTCATGCACCCAACCTGGGCTGGTGAACTGTTTCACCCTAGATAATATACGTGTTTCAATGCTGTTCTCTTGAAACATCCCACCCTCGCCTTCTCCCAGAGTCCACAAGTCTGTTCTATACATAGGAGTCTCTTTTTCTGTTTTGCACATAGGGTTATCGTTACCATCTTTCTAAATTCCATATATATGTGTTAGTATACTGTAATGGACTTTATCTTTCTGGCTTACTTCGCTCTGTATAATGGGCTCCAGTTTCATCCATCTCATTAGAACTGATTCAAATGAATTCTTTTTAATGGCTGAGTAATATTCCATGGTGTATATGTACCACAGCTTCCTCATCCATTCGTCTGCTGATGGGCATCTAGGTTGCTTCCATGTCCTGGCTACCTTACTGTTATTTTAACTTGCATTTCCCACAGGTTTAAAATATTTTCAAATGATTACTGGAAATTTGGAGTTCCTCTTCTGCAAACTGCTTGTTTATATTGTTTACCTTTCCTTTTCTACTGAACTGTCTTTTTCTTATTAATTTGAAAGGGGTTTTTTTTTGGTTTTTTAAAGAACAGGAATGTAAATCTTTAGTCATATGTGGAAAAACATTATTTTCCCACCGTCTTTTGTCCTGACCTGCTTCATATGCTTTTCTATTTTTATTTTGTCATAACAGCAATTACTACATAGTCAAATCTATCTTTTCCTTTGTGGATTCTGGATTTTCTAGCTTGAGTAAGAAGGTCTCCCTTAAGCCCAAGAACACAGAAATTTATTAAATATTCTTTAATATTCACACTGCTTATTTTTATATTTAAATAATTATTCTACTTAGAATTCATTTTTGTGATAGAGAGATTTAGCTCTGTTTCATCTCAGATGGTTATTCTGGGTAGACAAAAAAATTTTGCTAACACCTTTTGTCATGTATTATTTCCATTTACTTGAGATATTTCCAGTTTTATTGAAATATTTTATTTCTACTTATAGTGAATTTATTTCAGGACTCTAGACAGTTCCACTTATCTACATGACTAACTTTGTGGGTTGGTACTGTTTATAATGGGCTTCCTTGGTGGCTCAGTGGTAAAGAATTTGCCCGCAATACAGAAGACGCGGGTTCAATCCCTAGGTTGAGAAAATCCCCTAGAGAAGGAAACAGCAACCTACTCTGGTATTTTTTGCCTGGGAAATCTCATGGACAGAGAACCCTGGACAGTCCATGGGATCACAAAGAGTTGGACATGACTTGGTGACTATACTGACTATACACACATACACACACACAGTCTGTAACAGATGAAGGGACATGTTCAGAGAGACCAGGTGACTTGCTCAAGATTCCACTGCTGTAAGTGGCAGAGCTGAGCTCTGAGCCCAGGTCTACTATACTACATCAGGGAAAGGATAGGATATTTCCCCCAAACCCCAAATCACTGTTTCACCTGCCCAGAATAGAAGAAAGGCCTGATCAGTCAACAGTTCCAAAATACCACCAATCCAGTGCCTACACTCCTAAACCTTCTGGGTCTTCACTTACCGGAGTAGTGTATCCTTGCCGAGGCTCATGCAGAGCTGATTGCAGGAGACGACAAGACTGGTGATGCGCTCGGAAGGGGTAAAGTCAATGCGCTGCTTCGTGAAGATGGGTGCTTCCTTCTCTAGCTGGGCATTCACATATCCTAGGCAAGGAGCAATGGAAAGGTTAACTATGAAACAGAGGAAGGGTAAGAAGAGGCAGATTGCTCCTCTCCACCTTCCCAACATATTCCTACCCCAGGATGTTGGTTAGTGACACTTTAAATATCAATATATCAAGCATTTTACTAACCACCTCTATATTAGTCCTAGGCTACATTATAGGTTCTGGGCTCTTCCCACACCTCTGAAAGCAGTAAGGGGTTGATCCTTTGAACCCTTGGGATGCTATTAAACCAGTATGTATCTGCTCCTGGTGGTAATGAGGGAAAGTTTGAGTGTTCTCCTTTATCAGTCCTTAGCCAAGCAATCCCAGCTCAACTAAAGTCATCTAGTTCCACTTTCTTCCTTCCTCCCTGCCCATGCAATAATGCTCTCAATAAGTCTCCAGAAGAATGAGGGCAGAGGGATCCCTGAGAAACCCTTCCAATCAGTTGGTTAACAAACTGCTGGTACTTTCTCTCTAGCCTTTACTTTCATTTCTCTATCACCACTCAAAATATTCCAGCACTTCAGATGCCTCTGCCAACTCTGTACTACTTTCTACAAAAACTTCCCCTCACCATCCAGCTGCAAACAGCTCTACCAAAAGCTTAAGATACTTCATCTTCCCCTGTTCAGTGACAGAGTTCCCTCTAGGCTCATCCCTCCTTCCCTACAACACTCCCCTTTCACCAGTTCTTTACTCATTTTCTTCCTCTTACCTCCAGAAGGGGACTGATGGGAAAAACAATCAGATGAAGCCTATTCTCATCTGAACCTATTCTCAGTTTCCCCAACTGCTGCCCTCTAAGCAAGTCACTTCCTTATCTGAGTCCCAGTTCCCTCTTAGAAGGACTCTAGTGGCATGGCCTAGATTACGCGGCTGTGCTTGCTGCAATTTAAAACTTCGACCATCCACCGCCTGTAGGCCATGAGGACCTGAGGAGAACCAAGGGCCTAGATCCAGACTGCAGGTCCAAGAGGTGAACCCGAGCTCCTGGAGCCACCCCCTCCGCTCCTCCCATGCAGATGCAAGGAGAGCCGAGAGGTGCAGCGGCGCCCTCACTTCCCTTACCCGAGTGGGGGATGCCCACGCTGGGGCAGCCGGGCTGCAAGACGGTCGAGCGGGACAGGGAGTCCTCGTATTCATCCAGGATAGACGCCATGGTGTCCGGCCTCTGGGTCCTCCGTCCCAGGGATTACAACAGGGCTCCCCCCAGGGGTCCCCGTCTCCCCGGATTGGAAGCTGCGACTCCCCAGCCTCGACAGGAATCTGACAGATCCTGGCAACCCGCCGCCGCCAACTCCTCCTCTTTACAATCCTGAGAATCTTTTCACTCTCGCCTTATAGAGCGAGAAGATCGGGGAGCCCGCCTCCTTGAATCTGGCGTAGTCCTGCACCCAACTCACGCCCCCAAGAGAGCACCGGCTCCCCTAAACCGATCTCAGGTGATCCTAACCTCTCCCGAGCAGCTCAGCTGACTCCCGCCCCTGGGACGCACGCCTATAACGTAACTTCCGGGTTCTCAGAGGCCCACGTTTGCTGGCGCAGGAACGACGCGGAGCCGGCCCTTGGGAGGTGCGGTAAGGGCTACGGTGGGCGGGGCCGGGGTGGTAGGGGCGGGGTCAGGTGGTGGACGGGCGGGGCTATGGCCCAGCTGGCTCTCCAGCGGAGTGCTCCGTTCTCTGCTGGGGAAGAGTCCGAGCTGGTGGTGGTGGTTTAGTCACTAAACGGTGTTCGACTCTTGCGACCCCATGGACTGTATGTAGCCCGCCAGGCTCCTCTGTCCATGGGGTTCTCCAGGCAAGGATACTAGAGTGGGTTGCCATTTCCTTCTCCAGGGAATCTTCCTGACCCAGGGATTGAACCCAGGTCTCCTGCACTGCAGGCAGTTTCTTTACCGACTGAGCTACCAAGGAAGCCCCTAGGTGGTGGACGGGGCCCGCTGAACACAAGCCCCACCCTCCTGGACTCTGCTGCAGTTCTATACTTTGACACCAGGAGGCAATCCTGGCTTTCTCAGTCGCCTTCCCAGACCCGCCCAGCCCAATCCAGCCTCAGCCTCTGAGACGGTCCCCAGCATTTTTCACGCCCAGGCTTCCCTTCCGCAGAAGACCACTCAACCTCTCTGGTCAGCTCCCGCTAGCACATTTAAAAATAGTCCATTGCCCTAGGTCCCCAGTGAAGGAAAAGATTACCCACTCCAGTACTCTTGCCTGGAGAATTCCATGGACAGAGGAGCCTGGAGGGCTGCAGTCCATGAGGTTGCAAAGAGTCGGACACGACTAAGCGACTAACACACATCCTAGGTCCCCAGGAGAACATTCCTTTCTTCAACCTAAACGCCATCTAAATCTGGTCTTCACACGGCACAGGCAGGCAGTCCTGGCCTCTCTTCTCCCACATCCAGGGACCCACCAGTTTTCAGAAAGTGGCAGAGCTGGTGGCTCGGCCAGTAGGAAACTGTGCTACCCAGTCTCTTCTCTGGTTCGTAGTGGCTCCTCCGTGTTGAGCACTTACTCTCTACCTGGCCTTGAGTTAGGTGCTGGGGTCACAGAGATAAGTATAACAACCGTCCTGGAAGATCATAATCCAGAGGGGTGATGGGCCCATAAATAGGTAGTTAATGCTGATTTTGAGGTGAAAGTCGCTCTTGTCCTACCCTTTGTGACCCCATGGACTGTAGCCTGTCAGTCTCCTCTGTCCAGGGAATTCTCCAGGCCAGAATACTTGAGTGGGTATAGCTATTCCTTCTCCAGGGGATCTTCCCAACCCAGGGATTGAACCCAGGTCTCCCGCATTGCAGGCGGATTCTTTACAGAGTCTGAGCCACCAGGGAAGCCCTAGTTAATGTTAGAAAAGCAATTTATGATTTGTTCAGCAGCGCACTCATTCCGCAAATGAGCACGCAAGTGTGCGTGTACACACACACACACACACACACACACACACACACACACTGTGCCTGGCTCTGGGGACACCACACAGAACAGAACAGAAAAATGTCTGCCCTCCAGACGGGTACAAGGGACATGGCCACAGCGCTGTTGAAGCACAAATGCCGAAAAGCTTGGCTGGAACAAGGGATGAGGGATGTTGGAGGCGTTTGGGGAGTCCAGAGCAATGAAACAGCGAGGGTTTGGGTGCTCTTGGTTTTCCCTCTTCCACCTGCCTGGGCAACCCAGAAAGAATCTGTTCCTTTCTTTGGGCTCATGGGCCTTGCTACCTTGCTAAAGTGGAAGGCTCTATCTAGGCAGGGTTACCAATGTCCTGGCTTTAACCGGTAGCCCCCGATTAATGACTAAGAGTGCCCTCTTTATTCTCAAAAACGTCCAGATGTGCACCGTACATGGTGCGGTTATGCTTCTCTTGCTAAACTTTCCTGGTAGGCGCAGAGGACTGGACCCTCATCAGCCCTCACCGAAGGTTCTCTGGGCCTGGGGTGGCCCTGACAGGTTTGCGGTCCAACATATTAAATAACAACTTCCCAGAGCTCCCGGGCCGGCCTCTCCCACCTGAAACCTGCAGCCGCGACGCGGCTATGCCACCAGGGGCGCTGAGCAGCAGGTTAGGTCCCAGGAGGGAAGGTGCCCAAGCTACCAAGTAGGGAGGTTTCCGCCCGGAGAAAAGTGATCCCAGCCCCGAAGCTGCTTGTGTGTAAGGCTCCACCCCAGATCACCTGCCAGCTGCATTTTGGGAAACACAAATAGGTCCAGACGAAGGTCAAATAACCAGAAAAGGTACATTTCCTGAGTACCTGTGGATGCGCCAAAAACCACACTAAGTTCCTAATATTCAGTGTAAGTTCATCTTACCTCACACTAATGCTGTAAAATAGGCACTGCTCTTTCCCCCACGTTAGGAAAGCGGAAACTGAAATTCAGCATGGTGGAGCAATTTGTCCAAGGTCATGTGGCCAGCAAGTGAGGAAACCAGAAGGCAATATTCAAATGCAAGCAAATGCTTAAGAGTTTACCACCGCACCCTCCATGACCCCAGAGCAAGCTGAGAGAAGGGTGACACAACTGAATCCTCAGGTCTGGACTGTGCAGGGAGAGTGTGCCCCTGCATGGAGATGATGTCTCAGGGAAACAGAGTTCTTCCAGCCCCCTCACTGTCCCCAGAGCCTCCCTCTCCTGCCACTGCTCTCTGGGAGGTATGGGGTGGAGCCTAAGTGGGCCTACACACTCAGTACTACTCCCTGTTGAGCTGATTACAGCAGTTTTCCCCCACGTATTCGGTCTTCAACCTTAGGCTGGACTTTGGAGTAAGAGTCAGAGACCAGCCTTCTTATTCATGCCTAGTCACTTGGTAGCTGTGACACTGTGTACATTTGATGTTCTTAGCGTTGATCTTCTCATCTACAGAAACAGGTATAATGATACCTAGTAGGTCTGTGTGGAAGAGTAAATGAGGTGATCTAGGTGAAAGCGCATTGTGATAGCACAATGTTCAACATAGAGCATGTGCTCAATAAACTCTAAATGTGGCTTTAACCTGAGAGTCTCTCAAGTCCACCTCCTCCATGAAGTCTCCCTGCACCACAATGTCTCCCTCAGAACTGCTATGGATTTCCTCTGCTGGCACCTATTTATGAAGCACGGGCATTTGGTTTTGATGTAATGGATGCTGATTGTGGGGAATACCTCAAATATTCCTGAGCACCTGAATCCAGAAGTGCCTTAGGGAACTTACAGCTGGAAATGCAGATCCACTCGCTTCTACCCAAAAAACCTCTGTGGGAAACTTCCGTGGTGGTCCAGTAGCTAAGACACAGAGCTTCCAATGCAGGGGGCCCAGGTTCAATCCCTGGTCAGGGAAGTGGATCCCACATTCTACAACTAAGAGTTCTTATCCCTCAACTAAAAGATCCTGCATGCTGCAGCTAAGACATGGTGTAACCAAATAAATAAATATTAAGAAAAGAAATACGGTAGTTGCCATGAAACAGGTAAGGGCTGACTGCTGGGCCAGTGAGAGAGAGGATTGGTGTATGAAAACCGGTGAATCTGAGCTAAGACTTGAAGTGCATGTGTGATTTCCAAGGGCCAAAAAGGGAAAGCAGCAGGTGGATCTGCAAAGACCTGCAAATAGTGTGATGCTGGTGGGGAGGTGGGGGGTGGCTGAGGGAGCACTGGGAGTAGGGCAGTGAGTAAAATGGGACTGGTGGTGGCCAGATTGTGAAAGCTATTGAATGGGCCATCAGAAGGTTTTGGCTGGGGATGAAACCACCTGATGTGGGTTCTGGAAAGATGGGTGGTGGCTTGGTTGTAGTCCACATCAGAGAGGATGAGCTCTGAGGCAGAAACAGAGAAGTGGAGAGGGCCCAGCCTGGAAAAGAGAGTAGACCCGGAAGACATTTCTGAGGAAGGGCCACTGGGCTTAGTGTCAAGTTAGGCACTGCGGGGAGGGGAGCCGGCAAGGAAGCCTGCAGGATGGCTGCTGGGAGACCTAGCAGATGGTCCAGTGACAACTTTGTCTGGGAGGAGGACGAGCTGGGTTGGGGTGGGGCAGAGGTCACATGATTGAGCTCAATCTGGATGATTACATTTGAGGCCCCTGCAGGGCATTTACTCCAAGAGACCCAGAACCTGTGGGACATTCCCTAACTCACTAGTAAATATTTATTAAACAGTTGCATGAATGACTTTTCTCATGCTTTAGTTTCTACTTTTGTTAAAGGAGAAAAATCTACCTTGCAGTGTTTTGTGTTAAAATTAGTGAACCAATATGGGTATATTATTATTCACTGAAATCCATACTTTTCAGATTTCCTTAGTTTTTACCTAAATAACCTTTCTGTTCCAGGACTGCATTCGGCAGATGACCTTGCATTTATTTTATAATGATTTTTTAATGTTTATTTTTATTTATTTGGCTGTGCTGGGTCTTTTTTTTTCACTAGGGTCATTTTAAAGCTCTAAAATTATCTGATTTTACTTCTAAGAATATGTTTCAGTTATATCTAATTGTCTTTAAGATTCTAGGCAGGCACTTTTCATATTTGAACTGTGGACCTATTTGCTTCTCTATCTTTAATCTTTATGAATTATCTGACTTTAAAATTACTGCCTACTTCTGTTTGGTTTGAACCCCAGTGGACATCCCCTTCTTCACCACAGTGTTCAGATGCGCATCCAGGAGATGACTCTTGACTCCATGGGG